GTATTGATTCCAAACACCACCTATATGGCTAGATGAGTACAACGTACCTGTCGTCTGTCCCCGATGTTAATGGGTTGGGTTTGGAATGATTTGGCTCAAACCAAACCTGACTTAAATAGATACCAACACAACGTGAATAGAGGTGGGCTGGGACAATGTTAGGGAATGAAGTGGGGCAACTTGGGGTGAGATGAAAAGATAAATAAAAAAAAAAAAGAAAAAGTATTAATTAAAATAAAATAGGGCAATTAGAAAAAGCACTTCTTAAAATTGAAATGTTGTTGAACCTGTGATATGGGTCGACATTCCACAACGAAAACCCGATCTTACCCGATTAGAGGCATTTGAAGCCTCTCTCAATAGGGTGTGTGGGGGCAGATTACACAAGAATCCCTTTGAACCAATGTTTTCAACCCGCTGTTGATCCGATTGGTCAAATCATTCGAATTATTATTCTGTCAGGATTTTGGGCTTGGTTCAATTAAGACCCGTTAGACGGTCAAAAGTCATTCGACCTGGCCAGTTCGACCATTGACCCATTTGACCCGGTGACCGGATCATAGGTTGTACACTGAATACATGCAAACTCTTGGAGGCCATAATTTTGCGCTCCGATGTCTGATTGGGATGATTTTTTTTTATTTCAGATTCAAGATCTATGCATGGCGCCTTGTCCCACTATTTTCATGAAAAAAAACTATTTTTTGTCCTCAAATTTCAATTTTTAATATTTTTATAAATAAAAAATAAAAATTGAATTAAAAATATATATCAGATATAAAATAATATATATAACATATCTAAAACATATTTATACATTATTTATTGCTAGATATATAAATACATATATATATATATATACACTTAATACATTTAATACATATATTCACTGACGTGGCACGGTCTGAACTGTTTGACCTGACATATCGAACTGATAACCCACGACGAAGAGGCAAAAACGGTTCAGCCTCTGAATCGATTTTTAAAACATTGCCTTGAACACGGGTCCAAGATGTCTCTTAGATGTAAATTGGTCATGAACTCGAGATGGATGGTAAGTCCAAGAGTCTGTCTTTGGCATATAAATACATAGACATCTCATCTCTGGCCTAGGTTTCTATTAGGGCTTGGTTTGACGGAAAATAAGAGGAAAACAAAAACTTTATTGGAAGGTCTTTAGGAATTCTGTTAATAACTTCCTGTATCTTTCTTATTTTCTATCAAACCCAAAATATCCATAGGAAATATATGGAATGTGTTTGCCAAACCATACATCCATCACCAGCCCATTTTGGGTTTATTAGTCTTGAGCCTCTTGGCTTTTGGGCAGACTTTTTGTATGAAAAAAGGCCCATTACCCAATGTTTGGCCTCATCTATTTATGGTCTCTTTGGATATTGACATAAAACCAGACAATTTCGTTGTAATTTTCCTTTAGCACTTTGGAGCACAAATTTACCATCCAAACGGGTGTTGGCCAACTTGTATGGTTTTGTTTTTCAAAAGAAACAGACTTGCAACATCAGCACAATCATATTATGTTTGTGCAATTGTTATTGTCAACAGAACTCTAGCATAAGGCTCCATTTATTTATAGTGCAATTTCATTTGGACTATTATAAATTCATGAAAGTATAAATAAAAAGAGTGTAAATTCTGGTTGACTTTTGCTTCATGCATGTCTTATTTTACTTCATCTGCATTGCACACAAATGAAACTATAAAATCTAAGGCTATGTTTGTAAAGGTTTTTTATCTTAATTTCCCTTCTTTTTCTTACTTTTTTCTTCAAATCAAATACAGCCTAAAAGTAAACTAAAATTTGCAATCTCATACTTTTGCACCAGTGCAAATGAAATCGCATTGCAAACAAAAGAGGCCAATGTAATATTCCACAACCCCCAACCCCTGTTTATATCTTCTGTTCTTGTGATCTATATGAGAAAAGGTTTGTAAATTGTAATGCTAGCAATAATTAAATATGAAGAGAATAATTATTGTAGTTTGATTTCTATCAAAGATCAAATATCGAAATTGGTGAATCCAAATATATATGCATGAATATAATTATGCACTTTGGTTGACAGCCCTCTCATACAAATAAGAAAAAGTAAAAATAATTGAAAAAAAAGGAAGTATCAGTCACATTATAATACACACCAATACCAAACTGAGTATCATACATATGGAGAATTTGATCCTTGATTACTGTTATATGGGAAACAATTAATAGAAAATAGCAGCAAATTTGTAAGGATCGATGTAAGAAGCAAAGCAAATTAATTTGATGAGATGGAATTTGAATATAGCTAAGATTTAAGCAGGTGAATCACATCATAGTCTCCAGATATCTGCTATACTACTAACCGGATATATAAGTTGCACCTGCAAGTCTGTACTTTGTAGAGCAGTGAAATGAGCTCTAAACCTGTTTTTAATATGACCCAATAGCGAGTTATGGGTTATAATTCATTTTTAGTTATTATTATCATCAATAATATTGTTTTTTTATTTATTATATTTATTTTTGTTTGATATGATAAAAAATGATTTTATTTCTGAATCAATTTTAAAACCACAGATCTAAACGAGTTTCCACCATGGACTGGAGCAGGTTCTGGAAAAGAATCTCCCCGATCATCTTCGAAGATATTGTTTATCCCCTGGATAACATTTTGGCCAACAGTAAAATGAAAGAAAAAAAAAGGAGGGAAATAATTAATTAATCTGGCATACGATGAACTTTTATATATAATAGCATAGGCAAAAATGGATTTGTGTTGGGCAATGATGGGCCCTCTTAAATCAAATAAGTTAAAAGCAATATCCTTATGGGTATTCATTGTCTCTCATTAATTTCATATTTTCAATCAAATAAGGCTATTCTTAAATCTCTTTCTCTCCCCCTCTCTCTCTTAATAGTCAATGTTTATGACATTTTCCCTTTTCCATTAAATCCTTTTTTTTTTCTTTTTAAATCTTTATTAGTGTCTTTTGGTTATCTCTAATAAAGTAGGGGGTATAAATTAGATGAATCAACCTAAAAAATGAATCTTAGATTGAACCCAAACTAATGTCAAAATCCAAATTTTGTAGCTAGGATGATTAGATAGATGAGCTCCTTCTGCTTTGTCAAAGCAAATGAAAGAGAGAGAGAGAGAGACTCTTGGCTCTATTTGTGTAAAATACTATTATGTTTGAGTTGGAATGGTGAAACTGAATTGGTGACTTAATACACTATCATCGTTTAATTGGATTGCGAAATACCCAGGACAACCACGGCGACAAAAATGCTTTTGTCATCTACATAGGGGAAAATGGATAATTGTTCAAGTACCCTTAGCCTTAGTTATTCATGTATTAACTAAATTAATCGGTGATGTGAATGGTTTTGTCTTTTAACTGCTATGTCAATAAAACCAATACATTTTTGCTGATGTGGCAATTGTTTTGGTTTTAAGAAACAAAACCAACACCACCAATCTTATATAAGAGTGCACTAATTACAATTTAACTAGGGGTGTTGTTTTTGCTGCTGCGGCAATTGATTTTGTTTTCGAAAACAAAACCAACCATATTATGTAAAACACCTCCTTAATTAATTTAGCACCTAGCATTCCTAGTAAGAGTGTACATTGCAATTGATTGATTTACAAGATTCTCAGTCCAATGCTCCAGTTTATTCAACCCTCTATGCTTTAATTTCTTGTATATATGCTTTGTTAAGGTTGCAAATCTGGCTTATTAAAAGATAAAAAAAAAAAGCCTCAATAAGTAGTTCTATCCTACCACCTCATAGAGGTCTAATAAGAGACCCACAACCAACCCAATTATTAGTTACGACCACCAGGCCTGATTATAATTAACATCTCTAATTAGACAATAAACCTACAAATTTGTCAAGCTGGTATAATGATTTATTTGGATTATGGTTTTGTTTTAGGAAAAAACTAAGATGTCAGATTCTGACATCTGATATAGGAAGGGCTTTGGCCAATCAAACCCCCTATGAATTTTGAAAAACAAAAAAGACCCACCTGATTGGTGACCACTTTTATGATATTGGCATTAATTTAAATATTGATACGATATTCCTTCTATCAGTCAGTGCATACAGATATGCATGGATATCAATATAATTTTTTATTTTTACAATTTATTTTAAAATAATGAGTGAAACCCTCTAATATCAACAAAATTAAAATAAAGTAAAAAAAATTAAAACAGATACCCACTTGATTGTATTGGGCTTATATATATTTTTAATCCTTGGATAATAGTTTATTGGCTGTTAACTTTCTGGAGTATGGTGTATTTCCGCATCATAGTAAAACTCTTTACAAGAAATGCAAGTTTTTTTTTTTTTCGAAACCACAACGAACAAAACAACTATATATATTGGCAATGGATTTAGTTTTCTCATTATTGGGCTGAGCCCACGTAACAATAAAAGCCCATTAAACTAATGCCGGTCCAGTTCAGAAACAACAACAATGACCCTGGCCAAGGCCATCGTGCCGTGTGTTTAGCTAAGCTAATAAGTTGGCAGCAGAGAGGTCTCTGCTCTGGGTCGGTGTAGGCAGAAGCCGAGTTAGATCATGACTGAAAATTTTAGGAAACTCCTTGTCAAAATCGAAGAACTACTACTTGTATAAATAAGTCATCACTGAAACTGTGAAACAATTAATCACAGCAAGAGAAGAATAAAGTATTGCGTTGAGTGAGTGTAGATCTGACCAAGACATGTCTACAATGGACGAGTCAAAGATGGGGTCGTCTGAAAGAGAGTTGGTGAGTGGACGAGAAGAGTTAGAGGTTGAAGGAAATAATAATGTTTCACAGTGGCAAGAAGAGAGGGAGAGGAAGAGTAGAAGACTTTCTGGAAGAAGCGTTTGTAGCATGTTGTCCATGCTTGATAGAATGGCGTACCAGTTGGATTGCTGTCATATGCAGCAAGGCGGCCTAACTTCAGAGCAAGAAGAGAGACGTATCAAGTTGCGATGCCGAGTGTGATGCAGAATTACGAGGATCTGCAAGCGGAGATGCTTTCGGATTTGACTCTTTCACTGCAAGGAATGAAGAAGTTGGTGGTGGGGTCACCGCCGTCGGCGCCGAGAGATGTGCAGGAATCTTCCGCTGGGGTTGATGGAGGTGTTTGTGCGATATGCCAGGAAGAGTTCGAGGATGGAAACGAGGTAAGGATCACGGAGTGTGGTCACAACTACCATCTGAACTGTATCTGCAGATGGCTTGTGTCAGAGAAGCAGCATTACCCTATTTGTCGAGTTGAGTTGCTTCTGCACTCAACAGTGTAATTGAAGTTTAATTCTTCTTCCTAGTTTTTTTTTTTTTTTTGTTCCTTTTAATATGTCTTATAGATGAAGAAGTAGAGATTGAATGGGGTATTCTGGCTCTTTGATTTCCTCTTTGGTTTGGTAGTGTTGCAGTTTTAATGCTTTTGGTATCGACCAAACATGTATGGTTTGGTTTATAAAAGATGATTTTTGATCAGTTATATCCTACATATATTGGCTTTTAATCAATCAATGACACAAACCAGTTACTTAATCTATAGTTTCAATCATGAGGGACTCTTGAGTCTTGAGAGGTTATTGGTGACGATGATGATCTGCTGTTATGTGAGTTCAAGTTCAACGTCCATTGGTCTGTGTTTTCGATCCTCTCTCATCAGACTTCCTTCCATGTTATGGTGTTGCCGTGTTAGCTGAACAAACTATTAGTATTAGAAAGTTGTGCAATTCCATAGTCATGAATCTGCAGGGTGATTACGTACAATACAAACCGGATCCAAGCCATTGGTTTTGTTGACCATTAGTTTCTTCATTACCTTTTCGACCGTGGATCTGGGCCCAGACTTTGCTTTGGATTTTGGTCTATGGTATCGTTTATTTACCCATCTAACCATCTTAGGAAGTTAGAATAGTTGCTATTTGTTACTGGGCATGCAGAGTGGCAAACGAGTTTGTTCCAAGTGCCTCTGCTTGAAATCTAGATTTCATTATCAGATTTTTGTGTCCCCAGTCACCCACAAATGACGGAGAGTTGTTATCAGATTGGCTCATTTTAGACAAATATATATTGATTGGTTGTGACTTGTGAGAATTAATATTTTCACTTCATACCCAAACAATGATAGTATCTCACAGTGATCAAGTTGGGTATTAATATATTGATCATCTAAATCAAAGGAAATAGAATTTAGTTGGCTTTAATTTCATCTACAACCTCTAATTTTAACTTAACTTTCTTTGTATATTTGTAAGGAATCATGGCTTAGCTGGATGGAAATTTAGATAGACCTACTGCCAACAAAATGGAAGAAGTTTTTAGAAAAGAAAGGAATTAAATTTAGTAGAGTCCCATCTCCAAACATATAGAAGGCATTCAAAGTGGAAACCACCTATTCTTTTTGATTTCGAAATTTCAATTTCCCAATCAATCGAATCTCAAATGTATCCGGCATTGCTGATGGTAATTGCTTACGATTTTACACCTCCCAAAAGCTTCTGTCTTATGTTTCGAGAATCTATTAGGAGACAGTAAAATAAGATAGCTATGATACCTTTTGCTGGATTTAATTAATTGGCATAGATAGTCTCAAACGGTGGATCCAGTACTGATGCTCAAAAATTCCTATCCACATTTTTGGAAAATATTTTAGAGCAAGATCAAAAATAAAATTAAATAAGAACTGTAGTTGGAGAGGTGGAATCAAGTAGAACCCATTGTTACATAACATATCTTTAACCAGAATTAATATATGAAAAATACAAATAAGCACACCGAAGAATCAAACAAACACAAAGCATATTATATGGCATTAAAGATCAAATACGCCATTGGAGTTCAGCTTCTACTACTGGCATGAAGCCTGAAGGCCCTGTTCTCTTGAGCATTCCAAGATGTGCAGGATGTGAAGCATGGAATCAAGGGCTGATAGGGGAAGGGAAGGTAGGCAAAGTGGGCTTGGGCAGAGATGGCAACTCGGGCTTTGGAAGAGTTGGGATTTGGGGCAGAGGTGGCAATTCAGGCTTTGGGAGAGGGGGGACTTTGGCGACTTGGGGTAGGGGCGGCAACTCTGGCTTTGGTAAAGCCGGAACTTGGGGCAGGAGAGGCAATTCAGCTTTAGGCAAAGTTGGGATGGTGGGTAGCTTAGGCAAAGCCGACTCAAGAAGTTGGCGAGCTGCGACGACATCTCAACTCATAACGGCAAAGCGATGAGCAACAGAGGTAATACAATAAGGGATGAGCAGCAACGATAAGCCATGATAACGAGAGCTTTTATTGAGAACAATGTATATTAATTATGCACAAGGCTGCTGCAGAAGCAATTCCTTTGAGGATTTTTGAGTTTGAATTGCATGCATGCATGAGTCTAGTACTAGTTTGGGTTTCTATAATTATATATAGATCGAGGGGAGAAATTAAAGTTGGTGGGACAAATCAAATAGAGTTGTTGGGAAGGGTTGCACTGGTAGCTCATCTTCTGGACCTACACACCAATCACATATCATTATTTGATGTAAAAATAGTTTATATATTGCTTGAAGACAATAATCAAAGCTAATGAGTTGATGATATGCTGAGTGCTTAGTAATATCTCACCATGTGGAAGTTTTGTTTGGTTTTTGTTTTTTATCATCCCAAAATTTACTCCAAGTGGAGGGCTGGTCACCTACAAATTTTATTAATCATTATTAAAAGAAAAATTAAATATAACAGGGGACGGGAGGACATAGCCCACCTTGCTCCAAGCCCAGACCAAAAAACTCTCACCTCAACTCATTCAAAATAAACATGCAAACCACATTACAACTCAACTAATCAATTCACAAGGAAATCAGCACATCTGTTTCATTCTCTCAAGGTGTGAAACCACAAAGCTCATGTTGCTAACGATATGATTCATTTTTCTGTAAGAGTAAGCAACTGACCAAGGATGAGACATAGTTCCTTTGATGATTTGAATAAGATCTTCGTTATCACTCTCCACCTCTATTTCAACAATTCCACAACTAATTCATAAAAGGGGATCAGATCTAGTAGGCAGAATATGGTAAGCACATTCAATGAGAACTTGAACTTGCTTACCACGTTGTGCCTACCTGATCCATAATGGCATAAAAGAAGTCCATCAAGAAGAGCAAAAAACTCAGCTTACAAAGAGGTTGCAACACCATAGCAATTGTAGAAAGTAGAATAAAATTCTCCATTGCCATTTCTAACAATATCGCCCACTCCACTTTCACCCAGGTTCCCACAACTAGCACCATTACCATTTAGACCTCGTTCACTTTTAGGTAAGTTATTTACCTAGATAAGGGCATTTATCCATGTTCTTTTATTGTTCATGTAAATAAGGCAATGACCATTTTATCCATAAAAATCCATTATTAAAAGGGATATTTTTGTCTCGTTCAAGTGTTGACAATTTTCCCCCTAAGTGGGAAACTTATTTACCCACCTAGGAGATGGGTATCACTTATCCGGTTAAGTGATACCTAAGAAAATAAACTTTCTCTAGTCTCCATATAACTATGAAAAAAGAACATGGGATTCTTGGTCAATTGGAACCAAAATCCCATTGACCAACTTTCCCCATCTCAAAATCCAAAAAAAGAATGCCCCCCTTAATTTAAATCCAAAAAAAGTGAGAAGGAAACTTCCACCAGAGCCATGTGGAAGTTTTGTTCTAAAGAGCATTAATGCATTTAACAATTCAAATTCCAATTCATAAGGAATTAAGACTATTTGGAACATATTGTAGGTAGGATGATTAGAGATAGATGAGCTCCTTCAGCTTTTTCTTGTAATGAAAATTGAAATAGAAACCTAAAACGTCATTTATTTCTTTGATGTTCAAAGAAAATGAGAGAGAGAGATCCATGGTTCTATTCCTCTAAAATACCAGTATGTTTGAGTTCGAATTCTACCAATATCAAGATTGAAATCATGGAAAGCTTCGAGTTCTGCCATCATCAAGATTGAAATCATGGAGACCTACACAACATGGTGAAACTGAATTGGTAACTTATACACCGAATCATCGTTTAATTGGATTGCGAATTTGCAGGCCAATCAGCACAAGAATGTCTTTTGTTATCTACAGAGGGGAAAATGGATAATTATTGAAGTACCCTTAGCCTTAGTTATCCATGTATTAACTAAATTATTGTTTAATTGCTACCTGTAACAATTTTGAAAAATGGGGGGCACATGAAAAGACAAGCCATTGTTGCCAATGAAAATATAGGGGTATTTCTTTTAAAACATATATTTGTTCCTTCTATGGAAAGGAAGAAAATGCCAAATTAGCTCCCAATGCTAATATCTTAAATTATGTTGTTTGAAGATTTGCTAAGGGTCTTGTGGCTGTTAATTAAGATGTAAATGCAAATTTGATCAGAAGGTAGCTAGGAGTGCAAATTTGGTTCATTTTGCATGATAAATTTTGTATTGCATTTGATTGTGATGGATACAAATACAAATTTCAAGACTAGAACTTACCTATTTTACATTGACCAACAAGGAATGCAAAATTTTCTTTCATAATATCATTAAAATATATTTACTTTCTTTTCAGTGTAATTAAAGGCCATATTCAGTATTCTTACCAAATATCTGCAAAACCAAACCACAATGCAAATTTGCCTCAGTTTTGCATTTGTGCTCTTACCAAAATACAACATTCAGACAAGTCTTGTCAAGTTTTTAAGAACCCCTAGAAAATGCATCCCACACCACATATCTGAAACAAAGGTACAAATTTTTGAGGGGTACAAGAAAAAGAATGTGTATCCTTTGCATTTCCATTATTTAAAAATTATAATCAGGAAGTTATTTTTGGCTAGTATTATTTTCTTTGCTTAGTATGTATTTGGTTGCAGTGCAAATAAAGTTGTACTGATGCAACGTAATGGTAGTGCAAATTTTGATTTATTTTTGCTTCAAATTTTATCTTATTTTCAATGATTGCAGTGCAAWTAAGATAAAATAATATGAAGCAGAAAAAAAATAAAACCCAAAACAAAATTAAACCAAAATTTGCATTATTTTTATTTGCACTTCTATGCATTTGTACTAATGCAAATAAAATTGTACTGCAATCAAACACAGTCTTCGAAAAAAAAAAAAAAACTATTTCTATGAACATTTGCTCGGGTCCTCAGATTTCAATACCACTACCCACCTTAACTTTCTCATGGTTTGGGAGAAATAGTATTGAAATCTGAGGACCTGAGCAAATGTTCATAGAATAGTTTCTTTTTTAATCTTTTCTGAGAAAAGCAAACAAAACTAGCCAAAAATAACCCGCTGATTTTAATCTAAGGACCCAAGCTATTGTTATTGTTTGAGCATCTACACAGCCCAGGATCAATGCAATTACAAATTTCTAAGTTGGAGCACCTACTCGTAGCTATATCAGATTTTTCCAACAAGTTGGCCAAATCCAGGATTTGTTTTTGATATTGGTCCAAAGTGATAGATAGCTAGAGAGGTTGAACCAGAAACCAAACCTTTTCAACAACTCTTTTTTTTTTTTTTTGCCTTGATCTCTCCTACAAATTTGTACTTCTACTCTCTATAAAATGCTAAACAAACTGATGCATTCACCCAAATTCAGAGCCTCAACTAAACATTTTCTTACACCTCTGAGCCATATTACTTGTCCAGCTTTTAATATAAGGTGTTCCAGCTTAAGCACCTGTTAACACAATCATGGCATATCACTTCCAAACAGCCTTTCATCTATTTCTGCTGCTCACCACTTTATCATTGATGACCGGCCATTCGGTGCTGGCTGCACGGGGTCTTCTCGACACGACCTTCCCGACAGTTCCCAAGCTTCCAAAGCCTGAATTACCAACTCTGCCGACTATCCCTTCCTTTCCTAAGCCTGAATTGCCACCTTTACCTGAAGTTCCAACTCTGCCAAAGCCTGAGTTGCCGCCGGTGCCTGAAATTCCGACTCTGCCAAAGCCTGAGTTGCCGCCGATGCCTGAAATTCCGACTCTGCCAAAGCCTGAATTGCCTCCTCTACCTGAAATTCCATCTCTGCCGAAGCCCACATTGCCCACATTCCCTTTCCTTTCCCCACCAGATTCACCCACAAGCCCTTAATTAAGTTGTGGCATGCTCAGAATCCTATGCCTTGGGGTACTAGTTAAAGGGACTTTCTCTTTTCTTTTCTTTCTCAATTTGTCCTTTTGGAGTATGTCTCTGTCACTCCCATTATGTGTTCTTTGGGTTTTTATTTGGCTTAGTTCCTGGTTATCCTATCAGATTACTGTTTGATTTCTGGTTTGGTGTCTTACTGAATTAGTGCAATTTAATGATCTAAGAACATTACACTAAATTCAATGTCGATTTGCAGAAGCTGCAATGCATGTAATATTAGTAATTACATCGCCTTTCATGGTTTCATTGATTGAATGGAACAGTTAAATAGTTTGAATTGAATAATCTATGGTTCAGCCTTAATATTGGGCCAGTCAATCATGATCCTCCCCGTCACGTCCGTATACATGGGCCCACATATCTCATCTGGCCCAATACCGTCGAGAGTCGCTTAACTGTACCCTGTGGGGACCCCATTGCTATTAGGGTTTAT